ACCCGGTAGGTAATCTGGCTTCCGAGACTCGGGGCGAGGTTATTTAGCAGTGAACACCTTAATCACGTAGGTGCAGCTTGTGACCTCTCTGGAATCGAGAGTGCCAGATGTAGAGGGGAAGCAGAAGTCACTGCCAAGAACATTCCCGAAGGAGGCATGCCAGGTGGTGTCCCCATGTGTTAGGCTGGTGGCTACGGACACACAGCCCTGTGGCCACGTGTCCTTTGCCCGGTGCTGGCTCCTCTCAGCACTGCCTGCCACCCTCACGTTTCTTACCAGCATTTTCAAGTCACGTTTTTGTCGTGTGTATTTTTGTGTAGAAGTGATCGTTTTATCCAGGGGGTTATTTCAACACGCTGCTCTGGCGTTTCCAGTGCCTGTCACGCGTCCTGGACATGTTTGTCCCCCCTCTGCCCGAGATGGACTTTGGAGAAAATGTTGGGACCAGTTAGAACATTGAGTTGTATGTCAGTGCGGGGGTGGGGAGGGGACTTGGAACCTGGAGGCCAGCTGGGGCAGGGTTGTGGTGGCACCTCGCCTGAGGAGGGAGAATGCGGGGGGGGGGGGGGGGGGTGACAAACGGTGGTTAGATCAACAGACTGGCACCAGACCACTGGTGTTGGGAGAGGAGGATGATGGAGGACCTGATCTGCACAAGCTGAGAGGACTCCTGTGGGGCTGGGAATGGATGGCGCAGAGCCAGGCCCTTCCACAGATGAGGACAGGATGCTTAGTCCAGGGGGCGAGCACCTCGAGAGCACAAAGGTGAGAAGAAGCCGTGCGGGCTGGAGACATTCCCCCAGCTTCCCACGCTGGTGGAGCCCGTGAGGGAATGGAGTGTCCACAGAGGAGCTCACCAGGCCTCTTCCGTGCCACACGCCTTGGTCACCCACCCGCCCTGAGATACAGGACTTGGGCAAGCAAGCCACAGTAGGTAAGATGGGCAGGCAGAGAGGCCAGACCTGGGGTCCGTTTGGGGGAGGAGATAAATATCCCACTTCCCTTTAGGGCCTGGAGACCTGTGGGCATGCTCTAACCCTCTGGCAAAATACCAGCAAGTTTTGCTAGCGGCTAGTCCAGTGGAGCCGGGAAGGGCCTGGACCTCTGACTCCAGGCCACATTCCCAGCCTCCTGCACTCATCTGAAACACCAAGTGTGCAGACGGAGCTGTGTCATGCTGAAGGAGGACCTTGGGCACCTGTGTTTGCAGGTATGTCTGTTACAGAGATGACTAGGGTGGGTCCTAGTTCAGTGCGAATGTGTCCTTCTAAGAAAGGGCATGAGGCCGGGCGGTGGTGGCGCACGCCTTTAATCCCAGCACTCGGGAGGCAGAGGCAGGAGGATCGCTGTGAGTTCGAGGCCAGGCTGGACCGACAGCCTCCAAAACAATACAGAGAAACCCTGTCTCGTAAAAACCAAAAAAAAAAAAAAAAAAAAAAAGAAAGAAAGAAAGAAAGAAAAAAAGAAAAGGCATAAGCATAAGGTGACTCGGTCCACACAGGGAGAGAGGTGTCAGGGCTAATCTATTGCCCATGCTCTAGGATTCTGGCCTCTGGGACAACGAGACACAATGTTGTTCAGAGCCCTGCCCGTTGGACTGTCATGACAACCTGGGCCAGTGAATACAGCCAACACAGGATCAGAACGACAGCCCCAGCACCTCCGTGAACTTTTCCTTTCTGTAGGATCCCATTTCAGGGAGGTGAGATCCCCTGGCTTATCTGAGGGGCCACTTACTATACTATTCACCTGCAGCTGGGTGAATAGTCACGCCTGACTACCACAGCGTTTGACTGCAGGGCCTCTGGACCACCTTCCTCTGTCCCAGAGGCCCTGGCACCCTGCCAGCCTAGAGCCTACAGCTGCCCAGTCCTCTACAGCAGGCAACTCTGCAGCCCTTGAACTCCAACTATAACCGCACATCACCCCACCATTTATGCCACAGCTGTCCACAGTGGGGAGCAGAAGAGAGGGGAGGGGACAAGGTGGCTTTCCCAGGAGGTGAACTGAGTCAAGCCGTGCTCAACAGCAGTGATCTTCACACTACTGTCATCAGAGGTCCTGGGACGCCCAATGCTATGGCTGGCCTGATGTGTCCCAGATGTCTGCGCCAGGCTCCTCAGCCTGAGGCGTTCTGACCTGCAGCAGCCCCCGATCGCTCAGGGTCATCCCATGCCTACCATGCACAGATGACCACCTTCATTCCGTCTGTCAAGTGAGAACACAAAGCGAAAGAGAAGGAAGGGACCAGGACAGAACCCGGCGGGGTAGAACGTCCCCGTGACTAACTTTCCACGGCATGCTCTAGGAGTTAGTGTCAGTGGGGAGAAGCCCAGGCCTGATCCATGGGGTGGTCACTGACCATGGAGAACAGAGGGGCAAAACTCAGGTGCTAAAGCCCCACGTAGGACGGAGACTGCCCTGTCCCCCGCCTGCTTCTCGGCTTGCAGGTTACTAAGACTGTTGTCCTAAACTGGGCAGTGGTGGCGTACGTTTCTAATCCCAGCACTCGGGAGGTAGAGGCAGGCGGATCTCTGTGAGTTTGAGGCCAGTGTGGTTTACAAAACAAGTTCCAGGACAGCCAAGTTCCAGGACAGTCAAGACTACACAGAGAAATGCTCTGTCAAAAAAAAAAAACCAAAAAAACAAACCCAACAGCAACAACCACCCCTCCCCCCACACACACAACAAGCAAACAAAACTGCTGGCCTAAGGTCAGGGGGCCCCCGCATGAAGGTGATGCTGGTGGCGACGCCAGGGGTGGTGGGCATGACGATGGCAGTCGCCGGGGAGTGGTGGTGGTGGATGATGGTGGGGGAAATGGCGACAGAAACACTGGTGGCGGGGTGGAGGTGACAGGTGGAGGTGGAGTCAGAGGTGACGGCCACAGCCGGACTTGGAGGCGCAGAAGTAACGGGCGGTGGTGGTTACGGAGATGGTGGAGGTGGTGGTGGCGCCGCGGACAATGAGGGGACAAGCGGTGGGGGTGATGCCGGCATTAGTGTGGTAGAGTTAGTGATTAGAGAAGGCGGGAGCAGGGCGACAGCAGTAGTCCTGGGGAGGCTGAAGAGATGGTAACGGTGAGTGGTGGCGATGGTGGGGGCGGGGTGGAGACAGCGTGACCTTGGCAGCACTGCGGGTGATGTAGGTGGGAGCGGTGGGCGGGCACAGAAGCGGAGCAGCAGATTCGGTGGGGGTGATGATGGTGATGATGATGATGATGATGGCTGTACAAGCCGGGTTCGTCTGTCGGGAGAGAAGACCGGGCCTGAGTGGGGACGGATACAGAAGACCAGGACAGATGCAGAGGAGCCTGGAGCTCACTCCCTCTACTCCCGTGAAGGTCAAGTGCAGAATGGTACCCGCGGTGTGTGTTTGTCCTTCCTTGAGGGTGTCCCTAGAAACACCTTGTGGCCCTGTGTTGCTGCCGCACACCTTCAGTCCCAGCACTCGGGAGGCAGAGGCAGGTGGATTTCTGTGAGTTCGAGACCAGCCTGGTCTACAAGAGCGAGTTCCAGGACAGCCTCCAAAGCCACAGAGAAACCCTGTCTCAAAAAACCAAGAAAAAAAAAAAAAAAGAAAGAGAAGAAAAGAAAGAAACACCTTGTGCTGTTTATGAATACCGGAAGGGGTGGGACCAAGTGGATGCTGTGTGGTGGCAGCCCGGGGCCTCCAAGGTCAAGGAAGACTCAGGGAGCAGAGGACGCAGCAGCTGGCCCATCACTGTTCTGGGGTACCTGGCGTGGGGTCCTCTCTGGGATTCCTGGGGACACCTGTTCACTCCCCCAGCTTTGTTGTTCTTGATTCCGAGCCTCAGTCCCCTGGGGCCCCGGGCCTCTGGCCACTAGGGTCTGTGCTCCTCGCTCTGCCACAGCTGAGGCACTTGACACTCCTGGGGGAGGCAGGCAAGCCCTGGATCTGTGGCCCATTGACTGAGATTTTGAGCTACTGCCAAGCTTTTCTACCTGCCTCAGTTTACCATCCGGCCAACAGGTAAAGATGGATACTTTCAGGGAGGGTGCCCAGAGGCCCAGGCCGCCCAGGAATACAACAAGAAACGTAATGAAGTCCTGCAGACCAGAGGGGCCCCAGGAAGCCTCCCCTCCAAGGGACAAGACCCCCTCTTCTCTTTCCCATGGCATGGCAACAGCTGCTGCCCCTCTCCCCCCTCCCCGGGACTGGAGGAAGCTTGGGCTGAGTCATGGGCTCAACTGGGAACATGACAGGGCCTCCCGCAGGACAATGGCTCCCATCCAGGCTTAGTGGGAGGCCGCGTGAGTGTGGGGCAGAGGGCCAGGCGCCTCTTCCCAGATTTACATCTGGGGTCAAGGCTGGGAAAGGCACAGGAGTGGGCCCAGGAACTATCAGGTCCTTCCGGTACCAGCTTAGGCTGACTTCGGGGTCCATGACATGCACAGCCCTCGCCCTTCCTTGAACTTGACCCAGGAAGAATGAAGCTAATGTCACTGCTGAGGCCATGCTATTAACCTGCCCGAAGGACTGGTAAGGAGGCAGACAGAGCCTGGAGAGCGCAGGGGCACATCTGTACTCCTGTTCTGTGGGCTAGCACAGGCAGGAGTAGGGGAACTGGCAGAGGCCCCGGCCACCCATGCAGAGGGCCAGGGAGAGTGAGGGCCAGGGAGAGTGAGGGGAACTGGAAAGCCTTTGGCCCCGCCCCCCCTGAAAGAAGCCTGGAGGGAATGTGGCGGGAAGGAGAGAGCAAAGGGTGGCAGTTTGGGGCTTGTCCGGTGGCTTGGGGAAGCTAGAGAACCAGGACGCTGCCCCTTCCTCGAATCACTTTGCCTCCCGGGACTCCTTCCCCATATTCCAGCTGTGCGCGTTGGTGGGGCATCTGGGAAAGAGGGCGCTCATCTCCGGGCCTGTCCACTCACACCACAGGGCACCAGCACCTCGTGGGCCGATCTCCAGGTTGTCCACCACTCCACCCCCCAGCCCGGCAGCACTCACCTTTCCTAACCCCAAGAACAGCCACAGTCATCTCCACATGTGGTTGGCTTTATTGCACTATCACTGTGACCGCCAGAATGTGTGAAATGGGAAGACAGCACTCATTTCTCGGAGTGGCGCGGGCTGACTGTGCGAACACCCCAGCCAAACCTACACGGGAAGAACTGTCCTGTGTAGTCATGTCCCAGGGGTCCCTCCAGGGGCGGAGCAGCAGGGAGACCACAAGCAGGGACAGTAGCTGGGTTGGCCCTAAGGACCCCACACAGCAGAGCGCACCTGGACTCCTATACACAGATGTCCTGTGTTTCCACACAGGCAGTGTGTCAGTCATGCGCACGCACACAGGCAACCGAACAGTGCCAGTTGTAAACCTGCAACCAGCCACTTATTCTCTCTTAGCTTCCCAGTAACCGCGCCGAAGACTTTGAGTCCAGTGTTGATTCAGGGCAGATTCCCCGCCCCGGGGAAAGCAGGCAGGCACTAAGGAAAACCAACACAGTGGTGTTCTGCCTGCTCATTTGTAGTCCTGTAGATACGCAGACACAGACAGACAGACAGACAGACAGACACACACACATACACACACACCTCAGGTCATCAGTCACCAGCGGAGTCAGAAACCAGGACGTCACCGCCTCCTCTCCCGCTCTCTGAACTGCAGCCTGTCCCGGACCTCCAGTCTTGGAGCATCACAGACAGGCACAGAGAGGGTTAGGAGATAAACAATGGTTCTGCCCACCTTGGGGACACTAACTGTCACGTCACTCTACACCAAGCAGACAAATAAATACATCAAGGGTTAGAGGACACGATGCCTTAGACTTGGCCCACCTCTGCCCTCTGGGCCATCTGTGGTCATCAGAGACAGCTCTACCACTTGCTGAGGCATGGCTGAGGCCACCCCCAGCCTGCCACACCCCCTTCCTGAAACCATCAAGGTTCTGGGACAGCAAAACTTGCTTGGGGAGCAGGTGGCCAAAGTAACGAGGCCCACGTCCGCCAGAGAGGCAGAGGAAGAAGTCCTTCACATTTGGGGGGGCAGCCTTCCTTCCCTGTGACAGCTGCTCCTACCCGTGCCCCACAGCAGGAGGTGGCACAGCAAACATTGCTCCTCTGCAGCTGGGCAAGCTCTGGTCTTGTGTTTGATGCCTGGGAATGGCTACAGCTCCAGGGAGACCCATAGACAGCAGGACAGTGACTCCCAGGGTCAGGCCTGCTGGAGCACAGCCTTAGCTTCCACATGACAAGCTTGGCTCATGGCAGGATCTGCCATCACCAGCCCCGTGACCCCAGTAGGGGATACTTGGAGGGTCCTCACCCAGTATCAGACATATGGTGGCCTTGTGAGGCCCCTTTTGATAAAAAGGGAATCTATTTCCAAATGTCCCTTCTTTGCCCAAAGTCCCACCTCCGTTCCACCCCAGCGACAGTCTCTCCAGGGACACCCAGCTTTAGTCGCCCTCATGATGCTCCAGGGTCCCCCACTGGGGCCACGCCTCCTGCACGGCCAGCTGCGTCTCTGTGGCTCCTGCTGGTGCTTGTGCCTTGGAGGCCTTCTCAACGGGGGTCCCCGCTGCCACTCACTAGGGGTGGCCTGTTCACTCTGCACCCCGCTAGACGCTGGCACTAATGGCTTTCTTGACAAGCGAGTCATCCCACGGTGGCACTCCATACACACAAGGACACCGTCGAGGGTCCCAGCAGGGTGGCCAGGGGTGCCCTGGGACAGAGGACAGCGGTTACCTCACACTGAGAAGCCCAGGCCCAGTGAACAGGTGGGTCCACACGCCTGGAGCCTTGCTGGATAGGACACTGAGGAGGACAGTGCCCCTAACTGGGCAGGGGACAACCTGTGCTCAGGTGTGAGGTGCAGCGGGAAGGGTATGAATTCAGCAGCATTCATTCAGGTTGGCAGGTGGAACCTTCTAGCCTTGGGGCAGGGCTTCCACCCGCCTGGGCTGCTGCTTCTGTCCCAGAGTCCCATCCAGGAGACCCTGCCCCGTCCCTCCCTCCACCTTGGGGATACAGAAAAACAAAACGAGAACACTTCACACCAGCAAGGACTTGACGAGGCCATAGTGGAACTTGCGGACATGGCGGTACAGGTCCCCAGACTGTGTGAATCGGCGTTCACACCAGCGGCAGGCATGGGGCTTCTCCCGCGTGTGCACCACGGCATGCCGGCTTAAGTTGTGCGAGTACTGGAAGCTCTTGCCACACTGCACGCACGTATAGGGCTTCTCCCCAGAGTGTGTCCGTTCATGCCTCTTGAGTGTGTACGTGCAGGAGAAGGTCTTGCTGCAGAGTGGGCATGTGGGCACGGCCCCCTCGGGAGAGAGCCTGGCGCGGACGCTGTCCCGCTCCCGGAAGTGGGCGCTGAGATGCAGCTGCAGTGCATGGGCGCTCGGGAACAGCTTGCAGCACAGCGGGCAAATGCAAAGGTGCCTGTTGGGACCTAGCTCCTCACTGACCCCCACAGGCTCGGCACCCAGCCCCAGCTGCTGGCTGCCTGGCCCTCGGACGTGGGCTGGCTCCAAGTCTGCTGCCAGGCCTTGGGCTTCGGAAGCACAGACTGGTGGTGGGGATCTGTTGGTGCTCCGAGGGCTGCTGCTACCTTGTTCAGAGAGTGAATCTTGCTCAGCCTTCACCAGACGCTGGGCCCCTGGCTGCACGGAGCCGCAGAAGGTTGCCTGGAGGGTATAGGGTGGGTGGACCTGCTCCGGTCTTGGACCAGGCTTCAGTGACAGGTCCAGGGCCCCACTTGACTCCCCTGTGGCCTGCCAAGATGGAGGTCCAAATGTGGGCAGAGGATGGACAGCCTTGACCCCTAGAGATGGGGGTCTGACCTTTGGTGCGGCCTGGCAGAAGTCAGGGGACCAGGAAGGCAGGGAGTGTGGTGGCTGACCAGGAAGCTCTATCCCCAGAGTGCGGGTCTCCAGATCCGGGTCTTTCTTCCTCAGCCTGCCCTTGCAGACCTTGACGATGTCATACATGTGTAGGTAGCTGGCAGCAGCCAGGACGTCCTCGACAGGCAGGCTGTGCAGGTCCAGGCGGCCCTCGTACATGAAGTCCAGCAAGCGGCTGAAGGCGGGCACCGTGACGATGTCGCCGTTGAGCCGCACCGTGTCGCGGCTGCTCGCGGGTTGGTCCCTGTAGAAGAGATGGAAGTAGACACTGCACGCGGCCAGCACAGCGCGGTGCGCAGGGAAACGCGTGTCGCCCACCAGGACAGTGCAGTCGCACAGGAAGCCCAGCTCGCGCTGCTGCCTCAGGCGGCCCAGCAGCCGTACACCGTGCTCCGGGAACTCCATGCCACCGCGGTCATCACCTGAGCACAAACGGGACGGCTGTCAACACGCCGGGGATGCCGTGACCGCCGCTAGCCCCGACGCGCCCTTCCCGGGTGCAGGCGGCGCGCGGAGAGAGCGGGAGTGACGCGCGCAACCGCCAACCCCGAGCTGCCCGGGCACCTGCCCGGAGCAGGAAAAACTCGATCGAAAGTAAACAGAAGCCGCTCTGTCGCCGGGGCGGGGCTCGGGGCGCAGCGGAGGGGCCGAGCCGCGCGGACAGAAGTCGGGACTTCAGGCTGCCTCGCCCGCCCGCCCGCCTGCCGCGCCCCCCGACGCCGGAGTTGCCGCCCGCCCGCGCCGCCGCCAGCTGCCACCGCTGCCGTCGGCCCCATTTATGGCAGCGCGGCCGCGGGGAGCGGCCGGCGCGGCAGGCGGAGCCGGGAACCCGCCCCTGCGCTCACCTCCGCCGCACGCGCTGCTCTCCGCTCGTGCTGCAAGCTCTCCCGTGCGGTTCGTACTGCACAGAGCTGCGAGCGATGCGCCCCGGCCGGGAGGGCGCGGGGACCCGGACGGCGCCGGGCGGGGCGCTCACCAACTTGGCCGGCAGGGCAACGCCTGCTGCTCGCCCCGCCCCGGAGAGCGAAACTCCCGGCTGGGGCAGGAGGGGGCGGGCCAGGCGACTTCCCGGAGCTGCGGAACCGCTGAGGTCACCTCGCTACCCCTTCTCTGTCCGCCCCACCCGGTCGGCCCCGCTAGAAGCTAGCCCGAGCTCTGTGGCGGGCGGGCGTGTGGGACCCTCTCGCGATACTTGTTTCCTGGGCCTCTGTGCCCTCCATGGGGTTCCGACTGCCCCAGTGGACAAAGGGACACCTCCCAGGCATCTGCTTCTCCCTGGACCAGTACACCCGAGGTTGCTGATGGCTTAGCCAGGACAATAGCCTCAGGCCCCTTTTGGATGCACATGGGTCAGGGCGCTTACCCGGAGACCGCCAACCTCAAAAAGAATTCACTTCTTCCTAGGAAGCATTCCCCTGGGCTTCGTTCAGGTTGACATAGCGGGGATAGGCTGAGGAGCTGGGATCTCGAGCACAGGATTATCTGCTGCCCGCTGCAGACCCTGGGCTGGCAGCCAAGCACACTAAGATCTGTGTCAGAGGGCCCTGGCTAGGGGCAGGTGTGGCGGGAGGAGCAGCGGGAGACCTCCAGGGGTAGGCAGGCAGGTCACACGATGATGTGTTTGAGGGATGACATGGAGAAAGGCCAGGGCTGGCATCCTGGGTAGGGTATTCCAGGGGGAGTCGGGGGCTGGACGCTATGAGCGGACACACCTGGTTCTTGTGGGGCAAGGGAATGGCAAGAACAATAGAGCTCGGGGTCTGGAGGGTTTGGGGGTGCACCGATGCTGGGGGGCTTGAGGATGCACCGCTGCTGGGGGGCCTGGGGGTACACCGATGCTGGAGGGTTTGGGGGTGCACCGATGCCCTGGGAAGTCTTCTCTTCCAAGGGTGCATATCCTTGACTGAGGAGGCTTGAAGTTACTTGAGACATTGCTCAGGTCACTTTCACAAGCCTGTCAATTAGATGCTCTCGTGTAGGGTTCTGGTTCGAGGGAGGACTCACACAGTACTAAATTGCAGGACCAGGGTGCCTATGGGGCTAGGCCCTTTCTCAATTTTCACCTTGCATTTGCTAGAAGCCCTGGGGCCAAGAATGTTGGGTGGGCATCGCCCAGAATGACAGAAGGCAAGTGGGAAGGTGATCTTGTACAAAGCAGCGTTTTCCCAGTGGGCTGGGGTACAGTGGACAGGGCGGAGGTCGGGTGTTTGGATAGGATAGCCAAAGGCATTCTGTGTGTAGGGGCTTGCTCCCTAGACATGCAGAACAGAGTGCCCAGGCTGCTGGGCCTTTGGAGGGAGCCTCCAGGGTCTTGTCCAAAGCAGATGGATTGGAAACCCAAAGGGCTGCCAGGGTCCCTGGAGGGCCCAGATTCTACAGGGGCGAAAACCGCATTGTTATACTAAGTGGGGGCCAAAGCAGGGGCATTTTGAGTTCTAGACCAGCCTGAGCTACATGGCAAGGCCCTGTCTCAACTTCCCTTCTTGGAAAAAAAAAAGTGTATCTGAAAGGCAAATTTGACTGGTTACAGGAGTTATTTCCTGAATCGGGCAACTACCCCCGAGGAACCTACAGGCAATGCTACATTTACCCAGGCCCAGCACAGCTGGGGGGAAGCTGAACTGGGCTGTCCTCAACCTAGGAGCCTTGCCTGAGGAGGGCCAGTTCCCCCCTGTGCTGCTCAGCAGGAATGCCCACATCATGTATTTATTCAGGGCGAGCCCAGGCCCTTCTGGCCCTCTCTGAGACTGCCTGGGCAGGAGCTTACCTCTGTCTCAGCCCCTCCACGGCTAGTATGATTCCGAGTCCTTACAGCGGTGGCTCTCAGCCTTCCTAATGTTGCGACCCTTTAGTACAGTTCCTCATGTTATAGTGACCCCAGCCATAAAATAATTTTTGCGGCTACTTCATAGCTTTGCTACTGTCACAAATCGTAATATAAGTGTCTGTGTTTTCTGATGGTCTCAGGTGACCCTTGTGAAAATCTTTTTGAGACCCACAGGTTGAGATCCAGCTGTCTAGCATTAATAACCACCACCGACGATGTGGAAACCAGAGTACACGCTTGGATCTATGAAAACTAACTTTGGGGAGTGACATACTATCAGGCGACAGGCCTTTAATTCTGGAACGTTCTTCCCCCCAAAGTCCCCATCCATCGCTGGCTCCTCTTCATCCTGTCTTTGTGTGCAGGTCACCCCTTTAGCTAGATTTGTCCTTCCTGACCTGAGACCCGTCCCCGTTCCAGTTTGGCTCTGTGTAGGGAGTCAAAGGTTGTCAGGCGAGATGCACCCCTGACCCTTTATGGGGGGGCATCTGTGTACACCGACGGGTGGATCCTTGGCCTGCCACAGAATGGTTTTTGAGAAAATGTTGTCTGGATGTTGAACGGTGACACCAACCAGCCCCCTTGCCTCTCTTCCTCGACGGTGGACATGGAGCAGTGCCCCAAAGCCTGGCTCCTTTCTTGAGTACAAAGATAGTGGCTTCTGCCCGCAGGACCTGGCAGACCCGCGGGGTCACACCGTATTGCTCAGGCTGCTGCATCATCTGTGTGAGAACCCTGCCACCTGGCACTCCAAGATCCGTCCCCACCACTCTGTGGCGTGCAGATGACAGGAGGCTGTCACAGAGTCCCAGACCAGGCAGACCCTCTCCTACTTTGGGGTCCCACCCTGCAGACGATGCCCAGACCTCTTAGCATAGGGCTTAGGCACTTGAGTCCCTACCCAACTGCCGGCTGCGGGAGGGGACAGGGAAGAACACCTCTGTGCCTGGGGAGAGGGTCAGGACCACAGAGACATCTGGCTGCGGAGCAGATCACTGGCAAGTCGCAGTAAGGCTTGCTTCTCACCTGTGGCTCTGCCCAGGAGGCCCAAGAGGGGTATTGTTAAAATGCGGGCCCAGAAGAGGGCCTTGCGCACTCTGTGCGCAGGAAGACCCTGGGCACGGGGGAGGATAGAGACACAGGGCAGGTAGGGATGGGTGCTGCCTAGAAACGGCTCATCCCAGTTGGGAGTGCCGCAATAGTGTCTTCCAGAGAGAGCACACAGAAGATAACCAGCCCTTAGAGAACAGCCTAGAATTGCTATGCCTTCCACAAGAGGGCGCCCTGCGGGCCCGCAGTGGCCATTCCCCACTGCCCAGCCCTGTGTAGCACCGGGATTGGGGAAGCAGGGGAGGAGGTCCCGGGGGCTTGGGGTGAAAGTTTGCTGGGTGAGTGATGGATGTGGGTAACCCTCAGGTCAGGGATACAGCTGGAGCAGCGCAGACCTGCCGGGCTTAGCGCCCTGGAGGTGCTCAGAGCTGGGGTGGGGTGGGGGCGTGCTGCCCGAAGGGCGCAGGACAGACCCCCTACCCCCCACCGCTCCCGCCCCGTGAGCGCGCGTCCCCTGCTGAGAGGACAGTTTTCCCGAGAAGGGCGTGCTTCCTAAGTCAGCCCCCGAGGCAGAGAAGGAGCGCCGATTTTTAGCAGCGACTCCACGTACTGGACGCTAGCACGGACTAAATCTATCCTGTTTACACTCCGGGTGAACTCTGACCCTTGGACGAAAAACAAAACAAAACATGCTCCCTCGGAAAAAATACCGAAGCCGTGAAGGTAAACTCGCAGAAGGGTTATTATCAGTTTGGGCCTCAGGGATGAGGGAGGGGCTCTGCGCAGGAACTGCTGGGGCAGGCTGAAGGGGGAGAGCACTGATGAGTTAGAGGCCACCTTGACTCTTCAATTCCGGGACAACCATAAGGAACCGCCCCCCCCACTCCCGCCGCCCCCTCCTGCGCCTCGCCCATCTGAGTCCACAGCGAGGTCTTGGTGACTGAGCCCTACCCTCGGGTCTGCCCCCAACAACACACTGGCCCCCTGGATGTCCAGGTGTGTCCCCTTCTCCCCGGCACCCGCGGAGCCCACGTCAGTTTCTGTGGCTGACAGTGCTGGGCTGAGCGAGCCCCCAGTAGCCTTCCTTTCGGTGTGGCGTGGCCTTGAGGACACCGGTCTCTCCCGGCTCCCAAGACGGGGACAGTTGGGCCTCTCGGGAGGGTCAGAGCGATGCACTCCCCACGCCGGCCTCCGCGGGCTCCGGAGAGCTGGGCCGCCCAGTGCCGGGTCGTCCCCGAGCGGGGAACACGCAGGCCAGGGCTGGAGCTCTGGATCTGCGGCGGGGCTCCGTTACCCGCATGGCCCTGGCTCGGGGCCACCCGAGGGCGGCGCCTGCGGGGCCGCGCTCGCGCTCACGGGGTGCCTCGCCCTGGCCGCGGGCCGCGCCGGGGGCGCCCGGGGCGGCGGAGGCGGATGTGGGCGGGCGGCGCGGGCGCGGGGCGGGGAGAAGGCGGGCCGGCGGCGGCGGCGGCGGCAGCACCGAGGCGGCTGGCGGGCGGGCGGGCGGCCGGCCCAGCGCGGCAGCGCACGCGAGTCCCGGACAGGCGGAGCGGACCGAGCAGCGCCCGGCGGCCGGCACCGCGGCGGCCTAGACCCGGCCAGCAGCGCGCGCCCGGCCGCCGCTGCCTCCAGCCGGCCCCGCCCAGCGCCCGCCCGCGGGATGCGGAGCGGCGGGCGCCCGAGGCCGCGGCCCGGCTAGGCCCCGTCGCCCGCCCGCACGCGGCGGCCCGGTGAGTGCCCGCGCCGCGCCCTGTTCCGGGCCGCGGCCACCCGGCTTTGTTCCCGGCCGCGCCGCTCCGCGCCGCGCCTCCGAGCAG